TATATTATATTATATTATATTCAATAGTATTCAAGTGAATCTATTTATCTTCAAGATCATTCCGAACATTCAATGCGTTCAAGCTATCGATAATTGCGAAACAGAACCGAAACCAGTCACTTTGACCTATCCGATAACTCTAGTGTTGAACGGTCGGTAGTTCCAGCGCCAGCGCGTTCGAAAACCATCCGCAATGCTTCGAATTTTGAGTGAAGCACGAACGAGTGTCAATTGAAACGTTACAAACGTACTTTCGCAGTGTTTACGAACCGGTCTCGCTAGGGAACGGTCGCGCGTTCGTACTGCAGGGATCGAAAATCGACGACGAATGACGCTCCACTCCCGGTTTGATGATGTAAAGCGAGCATGGCCGGCGGGTTCGGACAGAGTATAGTTCACGGGAGTTGCCCCAGGTCCCGGCGGCCGTAAAGAACGCTTTATGAGCTTCCGAAATGAACCGGCAAAGTTTAACCGGTTGCGCGTCGGTGTTTCACGGTCTTCGTTTTCCTCGGCCACGGTTCGCCGCGGACGTGAGCTCGCTCTCAAACGGAAGCTAATTTTTGAAAACTCTTCCCTCGACGCCGAGCTCGTGGTATACAGTTACCGTCCGTTGGAAACCTGGCACTCGTGACGTCATAGGGGCGGAGACAGTCGCCTGAGAAATCCAATCGCGAGTCTGTAGACGACTCGTCGCGACACTCGATTGGTGGGCGTGAGCGCCTCAGCCAATTAGGCGCGCGTTTGAATCTGACCAGTGAAACGAGAGTGCCAAGTTACCTGCAACGAATTCTTTATAACTCTTTCTTTACGATATTGTTTAAGGCTTTGAAATATTCTAGTCTAAATTGATTTTTTGTGAGTTTGATCTTGATATTGTAATCATATCCATGTTAATCGAATCTAGAATATTCTATACAATTCTATATTCTATATTCTATATGATTGAAGTCGAAAGAATCGAACAACATTCACAATCGGTTAAGTAATCTTTCTTTCAGTATATTTTTCAGTAATCGTACATAATTTCTTAATCGAATCTGTCCGAATTCAAAGTATACGAGTCAGAGACTTCGATACTACTCGTTGAACATGTAAAGTATCGTACGCAAGTGGTCGGGCTGATACTTTTGCGGGTAACTGTAGGTAGCTACATACATAAGTACGTGTACCTTCGGTGCAACCTCGCGGAGAAGGTGGAGCGAGCGAACGATCTCGTGTCTGGCTTCTGGGAGCACTTAGCTCTTAATGTATCTGCGGCTGATGGGCGTATTGTTTGGCGAATTGAGCCGGGACCGAGTTTTAGGTAGCCCCGCGATACGTTCTATATATGGTAAACAAGCTTAAGAGGCTTTTAACAGGCTTCGGCGGGGATTCAGAAGAAAACAAGCCGTTTTCTGGACAAAACTCGATAACTTCGAAAGTACGTACACTTCATAAGACGTGACTCGTGATACGAACAAATGCTTCGAACAAAAGTTGTAAGGTGTAGTGCTAAACAAATGGTGGTTATATCACCCGGGGAGAAGTCTTCCAATTTTCGTCCCGTTCCGCCGTGGGACTGTAAAATGTAACACGTCCACTGTCTAGGAAATCTCGAGTTCACGTAACACTTATTCTTTCGTGGCGAAGACGAATAGGAACGAGTGTCAGTCATTCGATAGTGCAATCTTTGCATTGCAAGATTAACTCTTACAGAATTTCAACATATCCCAATTTTTTAATCGCTGATAATTCACCCTTTACAGTTGAAGTCGACGCTTCGTCGAAATGAAACTTCCATATTTGTGAAACCAAGTCGTAAACAAACGATTTAACTACTCAAACTTCTTTATTCTCTATTATTTAAGCATCCAATACATAATTTAGAAAACGTATTGAGCGACTCGAGAACGATTTCACCTGCGTTAGTTCGTAATTACTGACAACATTCGCAACGAACCACTTCCAACTATACACGCGCCGATTACACGCATTCCCAGTTACCATCGTTCCAGCTGATTACGAAATTACTTAACGCGTCTCGGCTGCGGCGAGCACATACTAAATACCGCGCGAATGGGTTAACGAGGAAAATTCATGGAGTCCCCGGGTCTCGCCGGCTCGGCAATTAAGGGTTAATCGACGCGACCCGACGCACGAAGAATCCAAACGCGACGAACTCGCGAATCGATAAGGGATTATCCCGTGAACGAGCCAGTTCCGCGAATGGAATCGTTATGATCGCGTCGGTTCAAGGTGTCGTACGAAGTTTCCGCGCGGAAAGCCACGGCGTCGGCCGCCGGGACCGGCGAAGCTCGAACTTAAGAGCAGTAAAGCGCTAATTAACGTTGCCTAGTCACGGAAGGCACGATCGTGACCCGCGGAACGCGCGCGCACCGGCCAGACCCCTCCACTCTCGTCGTTTTCTTTGTCGTGAGCCGCGATTACGCTCCTATCATACTCGCCGCGAATTTCGATCCGGCCGTCAATGAATTCGCGGAATTGCCGTTCCACCTTAGTCGCTCGAATCGCCATGGTTTTCTATAGATTCTATCCACGTTGCTATGGATTAGTGTTTTTTTACATGTTCCATGTATCGATGGACTATATAAAATTTAATATTGAATTCTAAATTTTATCATTTCCATGGGTCAAATCAAATGGCGACTGACAAACTTTCATGCCTGAGATGAAAATTGAAGTTAACCGATTACTTGATTCTATTCGCCACTTTGAGTGCAGAATGGAATAAATCAACAAGATGCCAATATTCTGATATGTGACTTTAAGGTTACATGGGCCTACAGAGGATTAACATAGAGAAATCATGATTGTTTCAGAGTTAACTTTGGATTTGTCCCTTTATCTCCGTAACGAGTGTTTCCGTATTATTTCAGAGCTCGTTTTCGCCTTTGTGGATCGCTGTAACGTGAATATTTAATTGTTTTTATAACGTTACGCTTTATTTTGGTGTACTCAACGGTAAAGTTCGCATAAAAGTGGGCAGCAACTTCTGAATCGTCTGATGAACTCATTCGCCCGATGGTCGTAGAATATTCCAGCCGTTGGAAGTATCAGTGTTTCCGGTTCAGCCGTTGCCGAGCGTCAAAGGTTCGGATTTGCATTAAAGAAGGCACAGTTTGTTACATCGAATCAAAATGAACGTACCTTCGCTGAACACGCAAATGACGCACGATTCTGGATTGCTTGTGCAGCGAACGGCGCCGTTTCATTGACCATTAACCCGTTCACGCAGTTTCTGTTCAATGTATAGTGAAATTGCTTTTTCAAAGCGGGGAGAGAGCAGAAATTTAAATAATTCCTTTAAATTGCGTCTGCCGCAAGGAATTTCATTTGTACAGTTATTTCGTCTAGTTTCAAGGTGGTCGTTTTAACAACGGAACCATTAGTGTACTCCCAATTAAATAGAAAATTAATTATTATACGTCAACATAGTAGTCGCGTGTTCGGTTAAACAATTCTGAAAGCAATCGAAGGGATTCTTGACACGGCCGCATTGCCAAGGAACTCATTAACGAGCACTTGCAATTGAATGTATAATTGGTTATTGCACAATAACATCGTTGTACGCTCAATTATTAGATAATTACGAGAATAATTAGTAATTCGTCGCTCGTCTACGGTGCGATGTTCAGTTTTCAAAATTTACAGCTAGTTCCGAGGAAAAAGAGCGAAGAACAGATGAAAACCATGAAGCTGTACCGGTTTCTTATTTAATTAACCTCTTGGCGCACTATCTACTTTCGTTACTAAGCTCGTGTAATATTTTACTATCGACAATTTGTAAGAAATACAACAAAATTTTCTATTCTACTTCAGGCGGAAATTTCATTTGAAAATGAACAACACTGATTCTTGTTAACCCACTATGGGCCGAATTTTTGTTCATGATTATAACAAAATTTATGCAGTACAAAATTAATAAATATCCACTAATTACTTAATTTTATTCACCACTTTGAGTGCAGAATGAAATACTTAACAAGATGCCAATATACTGATTTGTGTTAAGTTACATGGTCCCACAGAGGGTTAAATTAGTTTAGAAATCTTCATCGCGAGTCTCACTGGTCGTTGTACGGCAAGGGGTTAAACGAAATCCGAGGATAATGTTCAGACTATAAAATGAACGATGGAATTTGCGGGACTGCGTCGAACCAGAGCTCTCTCGTACCTGTTCCGCCGTACGGCCGAGAGATCGGACCCCTATAATTTCCGTACTAAGTCGGTCAGTCGCGATCCAACTGATATTTGCACAGACAGAATATATCTTGTTTGCAGAACTACGCGCTTAGTAGGTTATCGAACGTCTGATTTATATATTACACGTTCTTCCTGCGGCATTAATTGTTCCGCTCTTCCAACCGGAAACTTATCTTCTTCGAAAGACGTTTGAAACGATGCCAGAAACGCTTATCGAAATCCTCTGCTCGAACAATTAATGGAGTATCATTCTTAATATATACGTCAACCCTTTTAAAAAAAAGTCATGAATTCAGCTCTATCTTCGGTCGACCTCCCAGTCGAGGTTCTGACACGTCCTTAACTTCTTAACCCTTTGCACTCGAGAGGTGACTCTCACCACACGATTTCATACAGTCAAAATATAAAATTTGATATTTAATATTATACTTCGTATGCATCAATTTGAGAAATATTGAAATAAAACACCTTTGTTTCTGAATGTACGTATGATTTTTCGAGTTAGTTTCACAAAATATCGTGTTTATCTCATTAGAAAATCAAATATTTTTAGTGGTAAAACTTCCGAGTGCAAAGGGTTAACATTAGGTTTACATGTACCCCAATTACCTACTATCAAATTTTCAGTTTCCACAATCTAAATAAACGAGCATCGATTCTTTTAGGAATAATAGAATGTAGTGTACAATAATTGCCCATAAACCTAGTGTTAAATACATCAATATTCCATTTGCACCCTATACATCATTCTCCCACCCAATAAATTCCATAAACATCCTACTTATCGATCAACTTACCGAAGACAGACGGCAGATGCGCATTTTCGGCGTGCAAGCCGCGTTGACTGGTCCACGTGGGTCCCGCGTCTGATCATCGACGCTCGATCGGTTGCTCCTCAATCTCTCCGTATCGCGGGCACGCGGTCGATCGCGCGTTACGTTCCTTCGGCTCGCCGATTCGCCCCGAATTTACATGTCCGTCGTTTTACATGATAATACCGGCGCGCCGATCGATCGCCATGAATACCGTTCGCGCGTACGGCCGCGTCCGAGGGCCGTCCCGGCCGGCGTGAACGATAATTCACCGGAAAAAACGGAAGCCTCGTTTCCCCGCGGAGCCCTTATGCGCGCGAAACATCGCGGCTCGTCCGTGTCTCGCGTGTACTCCTCGGGCGATCGAGATTCGCGAGCACCTGCGAACGATTTACAGATTCTCGCGGCGTCTTCGAGACATCTCCTCGGCGTCCCGGCCTCGATAACGGGCATCAGAGCGGCGTCCACTTAATTCAGGCAAATATTTCCTCGCTGCGCCGGGATATCCTGCCTCCCACGGCGACCGGTAATGCACCGGGGCTGCCTGCAAGCACAAAGAATAATATTGTTTTAGAAATTCCCCTCCGGACGCTTATAGACGTGACGCGAGGCGACGCGAGGCGCGAGGACGGCTTTGATTGCTGATAACTCTGGATCGGAATGAACCAAAGGTTTAAAATAATTTTACGTGTACAATGTTACGTTCTCTTTTATTTTTGGTTCTAACGAGTCAAACTGATATAGGTAATTTCATTGATTAGGTAACGGATAATTTCATATTCGAGAAATAAAGTAGATACAAGATACAGTGACGTATGTACGTGATATATAAAGGTCAAATCTAAAGGATAATAACGTTTTCTTTTTCTTCATGGTAGGATCACACATTTCTCACAAAAGGTAACGCGAATCCGTCTTCGGAACGGCGCACATGTGCTCCGAAAGTCGAAAACTTTCTTGTGTACTTTATAAATCCATAAAGTTCGAGGGTTTACGGTTTCTCGAACCCCGTGACAGCTATCGAGGAAAAATTACTGCAATAAAAACAGCGCGAGGGTTCAGGAAAACTTGTTCCCATTGTTCGAGTTGATACTTAAATAACCGATATTGTATTATTGCACTTAATTCATTGAATTTTTAGTAAATTCTCCGTTGATATAGATCAACCGAGTTCCAGTGACGCGCAATCGCTGACTCCCTTCCTATCGAACGGTCTCTCTCTTCCTCTAGAATTTTTTTATTTCTCGTCGCTAATTATGCGCGAACGTGACGAATTTCGCGGCAGCCGATTCGAAATTTGAATAAATTCAAGCCGGCGGACGATTCGCGCTGCGGCCGCTGGAGCTGATTCGGATTTATCGGGGAAATATTTTTCGCGGCGCGGTTCAAACGTAGAAAATCGTATTTTACCGTGGGAATTCGTTATCGACAGGTGTCTAATTAATCATCGTGATGCTTTCGGTATTCGCCTCGACGCAGATTATCATCGAAATTCGCTTTCTCGCGAGTGAATCCCTGCGCGCGTCGAATTTCCAAAGAAAATCTCGAATGCACCTTGAGAACTTCAATTGCAACGTTTCTTTTAATATCAATGTTTCATAATTTCACTCTAATATTACAATTAACATCACAGTTCTACCGTTTTAACAGTTCCACTGTTTAAATTGTAACAATTGCGCATAATTCGATCGAAGTTCGACGATCATCGACTCTGAAAAACTTCGTGGAAAATATCAGGTGTTCCGTAACGCGGCCAGATAAAAATATTTCACGGTAATGAATTCCCGGAGCGGTGTTTGAACGAGAAATTAATTTCATGGTGTGCAGAAGCGACGAATTAATTAAAAACTACGCCCGGACACCGTCGCCGAACGGGACGCGCGATGCTATCGGCCCGGGAAAAAAATGTCTGCGTGAATTCCGCTCGCGTTTTTTCGCCGACTGTCAGTTTAATCGGCCGATGGACAGCGCGAGCAGAAATTCTATGAACGAATATCACGATTCTAATATACTAGGGAATTCTAGCGTAAAAATAGCCGACTCGTATTTTAAGCGACAAAAGAGTTCGACGGCGAGGCAAACTTTCCGCCCGAAATCGACGGGAATTTTGTACAGTGTATTTTTTAACGGTAGAAATATTACGGCAGGATGTTTATTTCATTCTTCTCCTTTCTATTCCTCCGGCGAGAATGTTTTTGCCCCATTTTTATCCGCAGAATTGATACCCAGCGCGGAAATAAGATTAAATTGAAAGCACGTTGTAAACGACCCATTGGAAGGTTTTCTTGCGAGAGAAAACGATTCCCCGTGATCGACGACAAAAGACGCTGCTATAAGGAGGATTTTTCAGTTTCATAGTCTCCGTTGAAAATATTTTGAACCGCGTTCGCTTCGACTGCTCGATTAATCAGAAGTCGAAGATAAATCGAAGGTAATATCGGGAGTAAATGGGAATCGTTCTCTTCGATTATATTAAGTTAACTTGTATATTTTACGACTGCCTTAATTAAATCATCCATTTATTTGTTCACATGACTGTATATACTATAATAATCTCAATACTTTCACAGTTTCACGATTCAACCCCATCGTGAAGTTTTCAAGCGGAATTTAAATATCACTGGATTATTTCACATCCAAATTAACTATCTTTCTATTACCATACTTACGTATTACTTAATATCTTTAGTAACTTCACAATCACCTGTTCCTTTTCAATAATTACAAAAGAATTCAACAATGACCCCATTCGATTCATTTACTAGTTCCACTGTTAACAGACAAGCTTAGTGTACACACCCGACTAAAACATAACAGGTGAAACGAAAACTCCTCGCGCGAGATCGCCTCGAATTTCTGAATTAATCATCAGCGCGAGAGATTAACGAACAAGACGATGGAGTCTCCGAGAGTTCAGGCCGATAGTTAACGGTAAACCCGGCTCGGCCGATCAGGAGAAAAATTCGGTGGGCGTGTCGACCGTAATTCCCCGCCTAAGTTGCTCGCGGACGTGTTGTATTTCCTTCTCGCGACACGGCTGACCCCGGTAAGACCGATCACACCGACGTCGACCACCGTAATCCCTTCTGATACTCGTTTCGATCAGCGACCATGGACCGGGGGCGGGGGGTGCTCGAATTTTATGGAAATTACCGGGAAACGGATTGGCCACCTGTGTATACACGCGAAACTTCCGAACGAACTGGGCAAACTGTTAATCACTGAGAAATTCCGTTAATTAACGGAGTCGTTAGGTTGATTATGGAACCCTTCGCCGGACAGCAACGTACATCAACCCTTTGCATTCGAGAATATTTTTCGCAAGAAATATTCCTTGTTTCTGATGAAATATCAATTGTAGTTTTTACAATTAATATAAATAATACCTTGCATACATTAAGCGACGAAACTATTTTATTTCGATGTACCATGTGTTGGTAGATTATAGAAAGTTTAATACTGAATTTTAAGTTTTATAGTTTCGTTGGGTTCAATCAAGACAAGAGTGTTTCGATCGTGTGGGAGTTTAATTTGAAAATACAATCATTAATTCCGTAGTCGTAATAGGGAGAGTCAAAAAGTCAATTGCAAACGGTCGAAGGGAGAATAATTTCCAGTGAAATTGTTGAAAGGTGCGTTTCAATAGGTCCGGTGGAAATATTGTTAACATCGATAAGTTTGATCGATTCTCCCAGCGACAAGGGTGAAATGTTCGTTCAGTCGATTAAGGGTATTTGAATAAATACGGGGTTCAAAATTCAACGATATCGCACGCCGAGCTGTCACCGTTTTATTCGATTATAAATAACATTGGAAAGTAAATGTTATACTAAAAAATTTCGCTTGTTTATCTCGATTATTCCCGATGACGTCGGAAAGAGAGAGAGAGAGAGAGGTTGAACGTTTTGTCCGATGAAATTAACGTCAGATATTATTTTCCCCGTTAATTCGCGGCGGAAATTTGACTTTTAGCTGCGTCGGGCAAGTGAATTGCACGGGAGATCGGTTTATAATGAATTCCATGAATAGCAACGGCCGTATATCCGGATGATAATACGCGCTAGCCAACCGATAACGTCCACTGAATAATTCAGCCGAAAATTTTCTTCTCCCGGTGTCGCTGTGTCGACCTGAACGGCCGATCCACTTTGCGAGGCTTTACATCGTCAGTTTACTCGAACTCGAGTGGAACGAGTAACCGATTTCCGCGACGCGTCCCCTGCCGGAACGGGATCACGCGTCGGAGATCATTTCCTTGGATCCTCCAAGTGCCTCCTTCGGCATCGTATTATTGGGTCACCGCATAAATAATGTAGCCTTGGAAATCTCGAGTTATTGTCACTTTAAAATTCTTATTATAAGTCAATTAAGCACTAAAATTCTTATTCTATACCGAATTTGGGCACAATAACTTTCTTTATTGAATTATCAAGTTAAATATTACCTAATTGCAAGTGATAACGTTTGTCGTTCAATTAGACAGTTGATTATTAGTTACAATTACTTCAAATAATCACTTTTTTCAAATTGAGATAAAATTCTCCTTCGAAAATGATCTCCATCGTTATAATTAATATAGATAGATACATTTCAATATTAATTATTACAACATTCTACATTACTTTCTATATTTCTCATCTAAATCAATAATTCCAAGTACAATTAATTAACTCTAATACACTATATTATCAACTCTATTCTCACTGAAAGTCCCGATCCAAATAAACCGTACAATTTATTTGTAACGCGCCGAGTTCAACAGAGAACTGATTCAAATCCTAAAACCAGTATAAACATGGAACGTTATAAATTCATAAAACCCGAGGCGCAGCTATTCATCAGCAGGGAATCGCTTCTGTGTACGATATCTCGAACAGGTTTTACGTTACTAGTATATTTCCGAGCCGCTATTCGGCGTGCTCATCGTCACGTGATACACCCGACTGCTTACCACTTTTCTTCGCCCAGAGCTGATCCCCCGGCCGCGCTTTATGGGATTCCCGGTTGATCATAATACAACCCACGCTAAACGATGTTCCCCTTTCCTATCGAGAAATATATAAATCTGCGGTCGGTGAATTTCCATCGGATCCGTACTCCATATTTCTCGATTCTACGTATTCATTCTTATTCGTATTTTCCAGCGCGTCGATCCTCGTGAGCTGGCCTCGATTCGAATCGTCTGATACTCGGAGTGCTTCCGACTAGTTTGTTTATTTCTGTCTATTCCATCTCGCGTGGAGTCTTCGATTTTACTGATTTCACCTTTTACCAACGAGTGTTTATTAATATTCTTCATAGATTACTGTAGTAGTTAGAGACTAATTCCGATGACTGTTCCCGCTCAACCGGCTCGAAGCGGAAATAGAATCAAGCTGTCGCGTGGGAACCTCGCGATTCTTTGTATCGCGCCGCCCAGACGACGCGAATTGAATTTTCCCCTCGCTAGCACGTGAAAGGAAGAAACACCTTGTTCGACAGTAATCAACGATGAGATTTCATTTGAGCTCCTTGCAGATGAAAAGAGCACATTCGCTCCTCCCG